GTTATAATCATTTATATTTTTGTAGTCAAAATCGGTCGGTCAACCGGTCGGTCAGAAGCCTTTGACCGACCGATATCAGTCACGGTTATGACCGGTTATGACCGGTCATGACCATAACCATTAGCATCCCTAGTCTACATCTTTCCATGATTCTTCTACGTTGCTGAAGTCATGAGCCTTTTCCACCGGATCAGACTTGCCATGGTATTCCTTGATCCTTAATTCTGGAAAATCAGTCTTAAGGGCGCGAATAATTCCTTGCACATCTTTTCTAAGATGGCAAATAAGTGACATACTTGTTCTATTCTCAAAAGGTAATGAAGACATATGCTTGGCCCAGTCTCAAAGTTCAGTTAATACTGTTTCTTTATTAGGGGCTAGGCGGAATGTCTTACCTTTCTGAGGCTGGTAAGTATTGTGGATAATAGAAAGAGGTATATCTTTACGAAGGGTCTTAATCCATTCAATGTTGAGGTCAGTTAAATCATTATCCATTACAATGATACGCCTAGCCTCTTGAATCAATTTATATAACTTCTCTATCGATTGACTCACCAAATGACTTTGTACTTGAGCAATTATAGATACTATTTCATCAAGCCACAAATCGTATTGGATTGGAGGACATTTGCATTTTTTATTACATTTACAATTATTGGTAATACGATATAAGCTTTCTATCTGGCATACTACCCTCTTATGATTAGGTAGATTTATATTACCATCGATATCACAATATGATTTGAGGTTGAGTCTTGTAGTAACAGCATTCGAGTAAGAGTGACGCGTGGATAATACTAGCAAATTCACAACGTCAGATATAGTAAGATGTTCAAGAATGTATGTTTTTCCAGTTTTCTAAGGCGATCCTACATAGATATCACCTTCATTGGGTAATGGTCTTACATATCTCTGCTCATTTATTTCTGTTGCTGAAAGGGACTCATTATACTTGGCCCAAGATGGGAAATTTACGAAGGCTTTAGGGAAGCCCGGAACCTTGACCTTGTAAGAGGATTGCAGAGATTTTTTATTTTCTTGCTGAATTTTTTCTGCAATAGATTGGTCACATTCAAAAATTTCCCCACGCTCATAACTATTCTGCCGAAAACATTTTACTATAAATTCACCACTAGCATATACGTGACCAAACCACCGCTGATTCTTGTCATGTATACGTTTGCAGAGTGGACATTCTAGTGAAGCTTTTCGGTTAAAATATACGAAGTTTTCTTTCGTCTCTTCCTTTTCTTCGATAGTCCAATCCCTAAGATAGTTAGA